GGCCAGCACGAGGCTTCAGGGAAAAAATTTGATTAGCAAGCAACCAAGAGAAAATAAATCCTTCTTTTTCTGTTATTGTTTAGGACATCAGAAAAATATGTTAAAAACAATAACTGTCAGAACTTTTTGTCACAGTTCTCTCCTGCATCTTCCTGTTCTTAGAGATATATCCAAGATACTTACAACTACTTCCAAGTTGCGGTTAAGATGCATTTGGGTGTCAGACATCTGTATCAAAATTTCACCTTCAAGGAGGAAAAGAAAAAACATATTTAATTATTTTTCTTCTGGCACTGGCTGGGAATTCTAGGAGATGTAGTCCCTCCAAATACATTCAGGGGGTGCCAAGCTGTAGAAAGCTGGTGCACAGAAAGCTGGCATGCAGCCAACCTGAAGGCTACTTGCTAGAGATGCATAGGAGGTAGCACCTACTAAGGGGGGCATGAAGATTTAGCATGGGATTAAAACATTGATTATTTTAAAGTATGGTAAGACTCTTTGCTGATTTTGGAAGAAAGATGCTGATTATAAACAAGTCTTTTCTCACACTTACGTTAGATATGAATGGATACTCATCATGATGCTATAAGCTATCTTCCAATCAAAAGGTGGGATGCACTGGGGCCCTTCTACATGGCATTGTTTCCATTTTCCAGTTCCTCCAAAGCCTTTTGAAGTTGGATGTGCAATACCCTGCCAACCTCAGGTCACTGAGAACAAGCTGGGACCATCATTCCCTCCTCATAGGATTTAGGTTCTTGCCCCTGATCTTCCTTTTTGCCCATCTTTGAACTTGTTTCAGGTTCTCTGAATCCTTTCTAAATTTGGGTGGTGTTAGAATGGACACAGTACTCAAAGTGATTTGGAAACGATGCTTCTTTTGATGCTGCTTAAAATTACACTTCCCTATTTTGCAATGTACATTCAGCTTGTAGCATTTAGATTTTCATATATAATTAAAGATTTTTAAAAAGAAAGATAAAAACTAATACAAACTAATATAATGTAAGAAAAAGAAAAGAAAAAGAAAAAATAAAAGAGAAAGCTATAAATGCAAGAAAGGGGGGGAAAAGTAAAAGAAAAATAGAAAAGAAATAAAGAAAATATAAAGAAGTTGCTTCCAATATTCTTTACAGCAGTTATAAATTTATCTTTTACTGTATGGTTACAACATAATTCTCTTCTTTCTATAATCTGTCCTGTCTAATCATCAAAACCATAAATCATAAGTTCATTTTTTTCTGTTTTACGCAAAAAGTCCATAAGGGAGGAAAGATTTTCCTATAATTCTACTAATATACATTAATACACTAT